GCTTTCTCATGAAGCTCAGGGTTGGACAAGGTTGGTTGCATTATTTACTCAACCGAATGTTGTTCCAAACTTTTTGTTCTGTGGAAAAAAAAGAAGATCTTTTGAAAAATGTTTTTGCGTTTTCGTTTACATACAATGAATGTCTATGTGGTCTTCTGTTGTTTTGGACCCCATTGACTTTCATTGACTTTCAAAGTATCATCTTTTGTGTTCTGCAGAAGCAAAAAAAAGTCATGAACAACAACATGAGAAAATGATGACAGAATTTAAATTTTTGGGTGATCTATACCTTCAAGGTAATAGCTGAACTATTGATGTTGTTTTAAACCTTTATCACTTATTTCTTCCATAGAGCAAAAATATGAATTTTAGTTTTATTCCATATATTGGAAGTGAATGAGGACTAGTGTTCCAAAAAGCTCCTAAATTACCAAAAAAGCATCATAAAAATAGTTTGTATTACTATTTTGCTATTCTCCATGTCTTCTAAAGTCAGCTTTGTTTGATGAACAGACCCAAATTTAAGTTGTGTTAAGCTGAGACTTAAAATGGGATTTAATGAAAGAAGAGTGCAAGAGTCAGGCCTTTTTAAATGAAATTATCCATTTCATATGAATTGGACTGATTTGATTCTCAAGTTCAACTTGGTTAAAAGCTCACTGAAAAACAATTTAAATATCAGTGTTTCTCCCTGTAGGAATGCCATCATACCAGCATCTAAAACTCAACATATGCTGGTGACCAGAGTTGCTGGTCTTTTCAACATGATTAACACAAAGCAATGGCAACAGTGAGGCTTGAATACAGCAAAAGATGGCTGACATGTCGAGAGCCAGAAAGGATTGGCAGACAGAGAATAGCCTGCAGTGTTTCTGCAGAGAAGGGAATGTGTGTGTATGTGTGTATGAGAGAGATAGAGAGCAAGAGTGAAGTCAAGAGAATACAAGACAGAGATAGAAAGAGAAAAGATAATGAGTAAAGTCAGTGAACCATAAGCCACTGCTACACACACACACACACAAATGCAAACGCTCGCATGTAAAGCCTCGTGCTAACATGAAACACTACGCAAGCTCACACACAGCAGTATCTAACATAGTGCAGAAACTACTGCATGAATAAGTGTTTGTTACATAAGCACAGCTGATAAGAGCCTATTTTCAACACACTAAACTCTTTCAGCCTTTGCTCGAAGGCCAGTTAATTAATAAACCTCAGGAAGGTTGCTTATTTGCTAGAAGAAAATCCATATTCCACCTGAGGTTTTTAATGACACGATCTCTACAAGAAACCGAACCCTGTTAGCATTTCATTAGCCGCCTCTCTGCTTACAGGTTGAAAAGAGAGACCGAGAGCAATAGAGTGATACAGGGAATAAAAGAATAAGGGTACATCCCCGGAGACAGACAGCCAGCAGAAGATGAAAGGACGTGGCACAGAGAGAGAGACAGAGAGAGAGACGAGCGAGAGAAGATGTGCACAGAGATGGAGAGCGATAAGCAACAAACATCAAACTGCTAGTGAATAGACCCGGGGGAAAAAAGAGGCAAAAGCAAGGCAGTTAGTCCCTGGGCTCTGAGTATTTTAGCACTTGGCCTATTGCCTTCCGAAAGACCAATTCTAACTAGACTGCTCCACCGCCATTGTTCGTCTGTAATTGGAGCTTCCAGCTCAAGACGTCCTCGCTGCGCCTCAGCCTGACAGTCCGGCTGCCTTCCATTAAGCTTTAATAAGTGAATGGGGAAAAAGGGGGTTTCTGTCACCCCGTCGGGAATGAGGAAAAGAAAGAAACCATGCCTGGGACTATCTCTCGCTCTCCGTCCGCTCCCGTCTGTGTATTTTGTTTCCCATCACGATAAAGCTGAGTGACTACAAAGGCAACATCTATAATGGCCCTGATCTATTCACTGCATGCATGCACCATCTTCTTACTGTAAAAAGGGATGGACACATTGCAGGCGAAAGCGGAGAAAGAATGAGAGGTGGCCCTCTAGACAGGCGGGCGTTTTAATGCATCTCTTTCATTACGGAGAAAGGCCCGTGTGGTTTGAGTAATATCTATCTGAGGCACCATCAGGGCTGCGCCCAGGAAAAAGCGACTCACGTATATACAAAGAGCGTTTGATGTGTGTTTTAGTGCTGCTTGCAAACAAAATTGTGTTTTTAGAGAGGCAGGCTCTCAGGGAGTTCTTCATGTCCTCAGATGCGCTTTCAAAAGATTTCAAGAGTTTACGATAAGGTTCAATTTGATGGTTTTACTTCTTGCAATATCATTTAAGTTTTAAAAGTACATATTTTTCAGAAAATCATTCATGACTCAAAAGACTATTTTAAGTTAAATAGGTTAAATACAAGTTAAGTTCTAGAGACAGCATGTGTGGCTGCAGTTGATTACCAGAGAATAGAAACTAAATAGCAAAACTAGATGTATTTTGTAGTTTAAATATTGAATCTTAATTTGCATACCAATCCAAATGATTAAGGATGCAAGATTAGAATTTGATTAGATTTACATACTATACAAAGTTTCCAGAATGCTACAGTATTTCCAATTGATTTTTTTTTGTGCATTTATTTATTGTAAAGCTAATATTGCCTAAACTATGAAAACATATATATATATATATATATATATTATATATATATATATATATATGTATAAATGAATGTATTACTAATATGAAAAAATTAATTCAATACATTTAAAACAATGTGTGTATTACAATGTTAGTACTATTATATATCATTTTATATATATGCTAAATAAGAGGCCGGTTGCATAAATTGTTTAGACTAGTCTTACAAGTTAGTCATCTCATTTTTTTTCTTCAAGACTGGTCATAATTTTTTTTAGTTCAGTTACATAAAAATGTACATTAGTCTAAGTTGAATCTAAACAATAAAACCGATTAGTCCTTGGCTAACTGCTAATTGGTCAGACTAGATCTTCAGACACAGTCTTAACATAGAGGCTAAGTTTATTCAACTATCCCAAGGATGTTTATTTTCACCAGTCTTAAATGATTGCCATTTGTCTCTATTGTGATACATTGGTTAAATATGTATATTAAAAAATATTTACTTTAATAAATGTTTTTAATATTTGGTTCTTAATACCTAATGCCTTGTTGTACTGTATTGTAAGTGTTGCTGGCACATTTGAATTTCCATTTTTTTCCACTCCAGAGTTTGTTTGAAAAGTTCACAAAGTGTATCACACAGAGAAGTGGAGTCTTCAAGCAATCAAACATCACTTCATCTTCCACCCCGTTACCTTATGCCACTGAAAGTAAACACCACAGTGCATGAACATAAACAACCTAGAAAATAGCATCATCTCGCATCCCACTCGTTTACCACATCCTTTCAGGACCCTGGTTCCTGATACATGATGGGGCCCTTGTGAATGCCAAGTGGGTTGTGACAGCATAAACAAGTCACTGTTTTAGTCAGTGGTTCGTGAAGTGAACTGCCCCATGCCAACGATGTTTATCCAACTTCTAACAGCAATGCAGCCACACGCCGTCAGCAGCAGTCAAAAAAGTTAATCATAAAGATGACGAAAACAAAAACTAATAGTTTACCACACTTTAAACAGCAGTTAGCATGCTGGGAAAAGATACACACACCTGGTATCTGTCTGCGATAGTATAAATATAATGCCCCCACACCACAAACAAAATAGACAGAGAGTGGTAGCAGGGCAGAGACAGAGATAAACACACAATGATGGAGGGCAGAGAGACTTGTGCAAGAGAAAGAGAGAGAAAAGGACTGAGGAAGAACCAGACACTGACTCCGCATCCACATGAATGCATTGATTGATTTGAGGTGTCGTTTCGGTAATGTGGTCTGTCCCTCCAACATTAATACTGAGAAGTAAACATGTATATCACCAGAAAATTGATAGGCACTCTGTCATAACATCTCCCAATTAAATGACATTGTGCTGTATAGTTCCTTTCCCTGGTGCCCAACTGCAGCTAATATATCATTTAATTCAGCAGAGTCTTCCACACAAACACCCACATTGAGGCAGCTATTATGAGCTAATTATCGGAGCGAAATTTCTTATTGATTGTGCCTCCTCTCTTCTCATTTTATTTGATTTCTTAAACAAACAGCTGCAAGTGCTAATCAAGGCTGTTTATTTTCACCCATGTTAAATGGTTACCATTTGTCTTTATTGTGATAAATTTGCCAGTTAAATTAATTTGTTTCAAGAGTGTTTCATCTGCTATGCAATTTCATGATGTTGATTCTTACTGTTGTGAGTGACTATAAGAACTTCCCTCCTGTTTTATTGAGTTTCCTGTAATTAATAAGATATTGCCTCTAGATTTAGATTTTTGGGTAGTTGAACAAAAACATTTCCTGAACCTATTTTTTTCAACATTAGATAGACAGACAGACAGACAGATAGATAGACAGACAGACAGACAGATAGACAGACAGATAGGTGAATGGGGAAAAGGATCACTTGCTGTCACAGAGCAAACTTTTCTTAAATTATCTGTTGCAGCAGTATTTTTATGACCACCTGTTTTGTCATCATCAATAATTCATTGGTGCTCTTCTAAGAACGTAAGTCTTCTGTCATTTCAAAGTGAATGGTATCCATTGCTCTCATCCGTCTGTACTGTGTCTTTAAAATCTATCACACCCAGGGCACCTTTTCAATCTGCAAATACGACTTAAAAGTTTCAGTATTTGTCAGAATTATTCAGTGCTAGATGTTTTCGAAAGTTAATGTTCAAAAACACGTAATTGATGATAGATGCTTTCAATCAGGAAGACCGTTATTACAGCTGTTAAAATCAACATCCACTTTAGGTAGCAATGAGTGCAATTAGTCTGCCATTTTCCTTCACTCATGCATTCTTCGACCTCATAAAAAAATTAAAAAAAATTTTTTTTTTACTTAAAAAAATAAACAACTCAATCTTTGTCAGTTATAAAAGTGTTCTTTATGCTCACTGTTATTCTTTCCATGTGTTTAGGTCTTCTGCAGGAGAGTTTCATCGAGGAACCAGATGGCTTGGTGTCCGTGAACTTGCTGGTGGTGTCAGCGGTTTCAGCGTTTGCCACTGGGGCGGCTTTGTCTGGTCTGATGGTGTGTTGGATAATGAGCCTCAAGCACCGCCAGCACTCCAGAGCCAGTGGATCTGGCATGGGGAGTCGTCGCAAGAGTGACAAGGAGCAGAGCATGCTGGGACACGGCCACAGCGGTTCCGTGATCAGCGTGACGCGTATCAGCGGCAGCGAACGACCCCACTCGCAGGTTGAAAATATGTTCACCAACGGCTGGCCAAAATCTGTAGATATCGACCCAGGACTTCCCACTCCAGAACAGACACCTCTGCAGCAGAAACGTCCCACTCCTAATGTCCATCTCACAGACTGCGATTGGGACCAGAGCCATACTTTCCTCACCCAGACAGGGATACCCTGCCCGGCGAACTCAGCAGTCATTTACTTGAGCTCCAAATACCTGCAAGGTGGGCGGCAAGAGGGATCAGGTGATGTTCCTCCTCATTCGGAGCGCCAGCGGTACCTCATCCTCTCCCATCCGCCAAATCAGCGGGAGCAGAGCGGGCGACCGTCCGCCCCACCTACTCGCAACTCTGCTGGTGAATACAACTATCCGACAACGCCTCAGGACTCACCTGACCGCAGGAGGGTGGTTTCAGCTCCTACCACACAGTCGGACTATGGAGAACATCTGCGATGGTCCCGCGATGGACTCAACTTCAATAGTAACAACGCGACTCCTTCTGGCCACCACCCGTATCCCATACAGCCACGCACTAATGCTGCGTTAATAAGGCCAGGTCACCACACTCAGCGAGGGCTCAATGAGATACAGGACTACAGCCACCTGCTGGTGAAAAGTATAAGTGAGCGCAACCCAAATGGCCAATGAGTGGTCCAGGCCCGTTCACACCCCTCAGAGTCCCATCACCCCCAAGACCCAGACTCCTTCTGTAATCCTGCACTTCCTGTCCTCTCTCACTGCCATCCAGTGTCTTTCAAGTCCCCCACCAGTGGCTGAGCTCTAGGACTACCGAGTGTGAGAGAACGAGAGCTTTAATGGTTGATGGTGTTAAAGCCGCTGTCCTCCCCTGCCTGTGGGGTGATGCCACTTAGCACGTTAGCGGCTTCTATCACACCCTGTCTAATGAAGCGGAAGGATCGCTTAGGAATAACGGCTGCGTTGGGTGATGGGAGGTGAAATACATAATCATAATCCTGCGAACGGCTACGTTGACTGTTTAGCATAGTGAAGCGGTTCCGGATTGTCTCTCTGTGTAATCTCAAGCCCTCTAAACCATTCAGTGGAAGTGATCTGTTTCGTTTTCACCTCTCTTGCTTTACATTTGCGACTGCGGATGCTTCTTTTGTGCATCCTTTGCAGACAAGCTTAAACTTCCTTGTGTCTGTTTGTATGTGTATGTGAGCCGCGCCAAAACGGGGATTAAAATGTGCTTGCCGGCTAGACTTGATGTGAAAGCAAAATGGCCGACCAACACTGGAGTTTCATAAGTGATCTGATGTCAAATGACTGACTACCCCTCCCTCTCTTAACCTATTATGTGTCAGGAAGCAATCAAGACAACTGCCATGTGACTTTAAAGACTTGTGTGCTGGAATATCAGATGTAAATGGGTCATGGAAAAGAGCGTTCGCCAAAAATCATGGAGGAATCAACCCATGCTTTCTGGACGGAGCATTGGAAGCACTGTGGAAATTACTTTATATTGCGTACAGGGACATATGTTGTTGGGTGGACCCATTTATTTTGTGGTGTATCTTAAAAACCAAGAAATTTTGTGCATTTTTTATCCCCTACACATGCTAGAATTAGAGCAGGGCATTTGCAACACTTTCTCTTTCTTTCGCTCGGCCTGGCTTCGTTCTCTGCAATCCATTGAGTCGAATGTGAGCTCAGTTGTCTGGGCCGAGTTGGGCCGCTAGGGAGCTGCATTCAGAGTGTCTCACTGACACTGGGTGTCTTTGTGTGGCCCAGCCAGAGAAGACCATCCTAACAACAAATAACCGTTAAAGAGTCATGGCCTAGCCATCAGCCCAGCCCAGGAGAATGTCAATGAGGAGCCAGACAGATCGGACCGCTCTGGGTTCCCCCTCACTGCCAGCCTTCACAAACCTCACAGAATCAGATGAATACAATGTTACATTTAGATGGAGAGCAAAAAAATCAGACCCACTGGGCTCCCGATGGCACTGTGCCTGCTTCAGCCATTGTTCAGTTTCCTCTGGCTCTCTTTAGATTGCTGTTTGTTTGTTTGTTTCAGGGTTGTAAACCCCACGGGAGGGAGAAAAGAAATAGTGTACTATTCAATTCATTCACCTCTCAGTGAACGACATTATCTCTGTTTTCTTCCCGTGAGGCAACGGTAATTTAGTGTGTGCTAGTGTGTCCACTAGAGGGCGGTAATGCACGTTGAGTTTTTTTTGTTTTGTTTTTTTTACTTAGTGCTCAATTTACTCTTTTTGCAGTGTGAGATGACACATTTCTGGAGTAATTACGTTGTAAAAATGTTTTGATTTTAACTTTTATTTAAGTTTTTAAAGAAATTAATACTTTTATGATTTCAGAAGGATCATAAGACACTGGAGACTGGAGTAATGGCTGCTGAAAATTCAGTTTTGCCATCACATATTAAAATCGTAAGCTGTTATTTAAATTTTTTGTATCAAATAAATGCAGCCTTGGTTAGCATAAGAGACTTTTTCAAACACATTAAAAAATCTTTCAGACCCCAAAATTCTAAACATTAGTGTATAACACTATACTTTGTTATATTTCCCTAGCATTAAATTACAAAAGAAATAGTAAACACTGCTGCAGTGGGGTTTCAAATACATCTTGTGAGGGAGTGATGGTAAATCTGACATCTTTCTCTTTTCTAACTGCCATAATCAATCCTTTTTTCTTCTTCTTTTTCTTCTTTAAGAAAGTCATGGAAATACAATATTGAATTTTTTCTTGTTTAAACAAATGGTAATGCAAAAATAACATTTGCTATGGTCTCACATTTATTTCTGTAGAAGTCTATCCTGCTATTGTTTATATTCCAAACCCAAAAATGTGAAAATGGTCCACGAGAGGGTTTGACATCAAATATTTGGTGGTCCTATAATCAACAATACTTACAACACTAAGTATATGTTGGTTTAAAAACAGGCTGTGTTCCAAATGAAAAGTCTGTTGTAGTGATAATAGAGAGAGGATTTAAGGGCATAGGGAAAGAGTGTGTTCTTTTGAATGTGGATGGATGAAAGCTCTGAAGCTGAACATTAAAGCAATTAATGTAGTGTATAATTTATAGGTTTTAAGTGCCAATGCATGACTGAGTTCAGAACTCAGTGCATAATTAATTTTACACAATCAACATTGTTGACGCAGCTTTTTAATTGTCACCCAGCTCATCTGTTGGAACTGTTGTACCTTCACACAGCCTGAGGCCCACCACTAAAAAAGGTCTGCCCACCCATGCATGCGCTCACCCTGCTTCCCTTTCGCTGGCTTTTCACTCTGTTACGCCATTAGGCGAAACATGCGTGATTACGCTAAGTCTATCTTGGCCTGATAAACCCTTGAGATGATCGTGAGAGACGTGCAGAAACACAGGCACCCACTTGCTTACTCACACAGCCAGATTTTACAAAGCAGTCGCCTGAAATGTGGGCAGCAAAACTCAAGCAGCGAGTCATCATTCTCGACCGCATCCCATATAAGTAACATTTGCCGAAATAAACCAAAAACAAGTAGCAAACGCAGGTGATGCTTATTGTGAAACCCTGTACACAAGCTCTAAACACCGCCTGGGTTAAATCGCACAAGATTTTGAGGCAGTGAAATGGAGTTAATTTGCTGCGGAGCTCTATAAAATGTGTTCCCGGGAAACGAAAATAAACGTTTCACTGTTTTCCTATGTCGTAATTCTCTCAAGCGAGAAATGGAATCGCCCGTAAAAACTCTGCTAGGGTTTTGTTTGGACAGAAATATACCTAGCTATGTTTTAGAGAGCTCCCTACTCTCAATTTTCCAATTAAAATTCTGTCTATGAACAGTGAGGACAGTTTGTTCGAGGCTTTCTCATTGTCTGGGCTGTTTTTCTTTCTCCGCTTTGTCTTTTAAAGCTCTGAGATTTTTTTTTTTTTTGACGTCCCCCAGCCACAAACTGCCACAGTTAATGGGCCACCCGACGAAATGTGCAAACACAAAGAAAGAAATGGTTTGTTTAGAAATGACATGCTTTCAGTATGAAACACCTGACATCTGACAAGCACAAATGCAGTTTGAATTTTTTTGTAAACTTGTAGAGAATATATTAGCCAGTACTGATATCTTCATTTTTATATTTGTTTGTTTGTTTGTTTTGTGGTAATGTTTTAGGTTGGTTTGAGTTCATGCAAGTGAATTGATTTGCTCTCTGGTGTGTGAATTTTTTTTCAACAATGACGATGATTATTCTGCACTGTGACCTGAATTTCAGTCCCAGACAGCAACATAGTGTTGGCCCAGATCCGGCCCACATCTGGCCCATGTGAAATCCATGCGGGCCAGATGTGGGCCGGATCTGGGCCGAAACTGTCTGCTGTCTGGGGTGTTTGATCCTGGTTTCTGAACTGTGCAAAGCCTTCGGATGGGAGTTGTTTCTCCTGAAAGAGAGAGAAGAAGAAAAACACTTTTGCAAAAGAGCCAAGTCTTCTGTTAACTGTGATGGACTTCTGATTTGTCTCGCACCGGAGGCTGTTCGTGTTACTGGGTCCATTGTCATTAAATGACAAGTCGTGTCCCCTTCAGTGTACATAATGATTTCAGTGCTTAAATGTAATTTAAGTGAACTATCTGCATGAACACAGCCTCGGTCTGGAGTCCACAGAGGTAGTGTGTATCAACATGACATGCTACTGTGTGCCCTAATATTGTCCACCAATCAGACAGTCACATGCATGCTTTCCAAATCTAAAGCACAAGTGCACATAAAGACACACAAGATCACAAACACATGGACAGTGGGGTCCAAAAGTCTTAAAATACTCTATTTTCTCACGCTCAAATTATATAATTACCATAATACTTTAAGTGAAAGGTTTAACTGAAAAATTGAGAATGTCTTTGTATACAGTTTGTGCTTTTGCTTTAACATCAGCACTCAAGTTGCATGTACAGTAGTTTGTGTAAAATCTGATGCTCATGTTCTTCAGCATGATTTGAAATGATCCAAAGAACATCTTGTGCTTCAATGGAAGTAAGGACATCTGACCGTCTCTGCAAATTTATGTGATAAATGTCACAAATTTTCTTGTTTAGTGACCTGGAAATTGTGCTAAATTTCTTAATCATTTTATGCCATAAAGGTTCTTTGTTGTAAATTGCTCAAAAATCCTGAAACTTTCTTTATTTTCAAGTGTAAATGGTATTTGAAATACCAAATTTTTAGGGTCTTCTCAGACTTTTGGATCCCACTGTACTTTAACACACACACGTGCACAACTTTTTGCATTTGGAAACTCATTGTCCTCAGTTCTGGCTGTCATTGAGCATGGAGACTGTGCTCTGTTATCATTTCCTGTTCTAATAAACCATCAAGAACCTAACTGGTGTTAGTTTTTTCTTTAAGTTTTTCTGGTGCATCACATTATATTTTTGTTGATGTTTACTATAATACAAAGGAGTATTATAAAGGGGTACTTGGATCTTATTGAAGGGTCTCTAATATACAAAGATCAATATCTCAGAAAAGTGAATAATGTTGGGTTTGTTTGCAGCATAGTGTTATTTTAGCAATCACACATTGTATATTTTAAGTGCTATACGTTTCAGTTCCTCCTGTCCTTCTGTCTTTGAGCTATCCTGTTGTATTTTGACACCAAATATAGAACCATAAATACTCAAGAGTACTGGTACAGAGTGCTGTTATTCATTATTATATAAAAGTGTTCTGAGATCAGTACTCATCACCTCAGTGGTTTTTTTATAGCAGCATGCGCTGTTTGGCTATTACACACCACAGGATAGTTTGTGGTCTACAGATAACAAGCATGATCGTAGACAAGAGCTTGGAAAAAAATGCAACGAATCTGAGCCACAACATCTCCATTTTATTTAATTTTCCAACCCTGAAGGTCTCTGAATATTTATTTCTACCCATTTATTGCCAGACGAATTCATGCACGCTCTTTGGGATTTGACATGGAAGTGGAATTTTAACGAGCTCACCTGGAGCCACAAGTGAAAAGCGAATAAGGTCAGTATAATAAATCCTTTTGTTGATGTTTAGAGGCAATGTGTTTGGGATTAAACCACTGCTCACGTATCAAACGCACAAGCAGCTAGATCATGGTCATCCAAGCTACTAACATGGCCTGATTAATAGCAAAATTGGGTCAAACTCATGTATTTGATCCAGAGGCATCATATTAAATATTATGATTTCATATGAAAAGTGCTCACATTACATGTATTATTTCAATAGATGTTTTACATTTACTGATACAGTACGTCTTTCATCAGCATTATCTTACATGCGTCCTGTCCTTTCGGAAAGATAAAATAAAACAGTGCTGCAGAAACAACAGCTGTCCACACGGTGGCAGTGTTATCCATCACATGTATAAAAACCCAATAGTCTGAGACCATATTATCAATTTGGATTCAAAATCTAACTGAAACCTGAAACAAAGTGAAAGCTTTAGGATTAAAACAGAAACATTCTGACTTAAATGTTTAAGATTTGTAGGTCATTAATCAAATAGTAAATGTGTGACACTGATCATGTGATCATGTCATTGATTTTCAATTCAACTTTTCACTCAGATATATATTATTTTTTTTTTTAATGAAGAAAAACTACATTTTCTCAGATGTTTGGACAATACCAGGCCATTTGTAATATGTCAGGTTGTCATCTGCTGTCCAAGTAGCTGCTTTTAATGAATCTTACATAAAGTGATCAAAAGAATTGAGGTAATTAATGAATAAATGTTGATCATGATATTTGTGCCAGGAAAATGACTTATAACAAAATAATATTGTCTGTAAATAATGGCTGTTTAATATACTCTGCCAACAAGGTAACTTTAAACTATATGGCTAAAACAAGATAGTACAATCATATAGTGTATATGTAATTAAATAAATAAGCTACATTTGTTTATATATTTGATAGGTAATGGTCAAAAATGTATGAATATGGACATGTTCTGGATTTCCTGAGAGAGACTGTGTTGCTATAACAACAGTCTGCTGACATTCTGTTCAGGCACATGTTGATTTGTAAATGGGAGAACTCATTACTTCATATAGATCATTGAGTTAGACAGTAGAAAACAACACTATGTTCATATTGTCAAGAAACACGGCCCCCAAGAGTAATTTTTCGTCTGAATGCAATAATCTGTAATCAAACGAAATGTGTCATGCACAAATTCACAGAGCGCCTGAAGCGGGACTCCCTCAGGTCTATGCATGATTTGATTTGTGTCATTAAATGTATGGAAATGTACTCAATTTCTAGATGCAACCCGAGGTGTTTACTAAAA